CCACAACACCACAAAACAGCAAATAAATGCAAGGAGTCGGGTAAGCCTGGGACGGTGGTGGCGGCGGTAGAAGTGGCGTTCCCCGTTTCCTCGTATACTCACAAGCTTCGCACGGTGAGACGCTCCCCCGTTCGAATTTGTTTTATTGCAGCCTCCGTGAGGGTCTCTGCCTGTGCTTTTTTTCGCTCCGCTATAGGGCTTGTTTTTAAAAGGACAGTTGAATTTCACGTCAGACACTAGGAGACCATGTCTGCGATATTCCTGACGAATACATATCTATTCTGCAACCACTGCATTAATTATTTAATGAATCACGTGACCAGGAGGGGGATGGGGGCACCACGGCTTGCACGCTCGCGGGATTACTATGACCCAACTCTCCACAGCTACACTACATGCTGTTCTGTTCTTTTTATTCGTAATATGAAATTCTTCATACTATTCAGGACAAGGTAAATAAATAAAAAGTTTGTTACGGTACGAACGTATGTGGGGTAAACGGTTACCTGATAGGCTAGACATGGATTATCATAATGGGTGAATTTTTAAGTGGTACAAGTTTTATGTCTTTTATAACGCCTAGGTATGGACATTTTAATTAAAATGTGTGTTTTATTTTCAGGTGAGTTCCGTATTTAATTACGTTCATATGAGCAGCTTATACTTTTGTAATCAGCATTTTATATTTCATTTCGTTTTTCTTATTTTTCAGGAATTTTCAAGTCCAATTATTGTCTTTACTGTTATATTGATGTCTTGTTTTATTTCTTTGTAAGACTATGAATATGCATTAAAATAATGATAAATAAGAAAGAGACTCTCTGTGTGTGTATGTGTGTGTGTGTGAAGAAATTCTTACGATAACAAGCACTCTGATGAATGGCTGTTGGCATTACAACTGATATCACATACCCAATTTCCATCACTGATTCTTTGCCAGCTTATTTAACTCTACAACTACGCGTTTGACATTTTATCGAAATTAAGTCAGTTTAACGGTTTAAACTTTTTCAATGCAGAGAGCACGTTTATAACTAGTAGATTTATAGATATGATTTAGCTCAAGTTTGCCTACATTTAACTATCAAACTGTTAATTTATATTTTTATTATTACTATTAATATTCTCTGGAGTTGTTAGGTTGTGCAAAGACAGGTAACATGCGACAGATAAAGGAGGAAAAGTCTCTTGTGGAGACCCTGCCGCGAGCCCTAAGCAACAATGGTAGGGATGCCCTTCTGCACAGCGCTGAGGCAAAACGGAAACAATAGACCTGGGGCTGAGTCAAAAGAAACGGAGCAGTACAGAGACTTTGAAGGTCAAACAATAGCCTGACTTGCTGTGTGCTTCGAAGAAGTCTAGCAAATAATCTGCACCGTCTTTTCTATAGCTAATATCAGTCAAAACAGCTCGAAGGAACGAATAAAACGGGCGATTAAAGTGTAGCCAGCAGTGTAGCCATAGTTTTATCAAATGCAATTAGACTCTTTGCCAAAGAAGGTGAATGCAATAAAGATAAGCTTTGTGTGCAAATGAATCTCTGCAATTTTCTACGCCAATGTGCAATTGAATCCACGCATTTTCTCGTAGCCTAAGCAAGATAGCTGTGGCGGTGTAAATACAAACAAAAACATAGGATGTACTAGGCAATATGTGAATTACATCAATGGCAACATTAAAGCACCACTTTCTATCAAGATTAAAGCATATGTGCCTCTGCGTTTACTGCTTTGAAAGAATGAAAGGAAATTGTGTGATTCAAAAATGGATAACGATTGCACACGTGCAATGCTTTTGAAATATGGGACTTTTTTTACAAATGATTAACGATACATCTTTCAGGTTTATATAAAAAAAACGATACTGGTCATTTTGTTGGGTCTATATTTCAGTATTTACTTATAAATAAAATACATGGAGGCTAATTCTCACAACAGAAATAAAAACTGCCAAATAATAGAAATCATTCTAAAGTACAACTCGATTGTTTTGTTCTTGCATGGCTTTAAATGTTTCAGTGGCAATGATTAGATTTTTTTTTTAATTAGTGGCCAAAATCATCTAAAAAATTAAAACGAAATAACTGTTTAAAAAATTAAATAATTAATATAAATTAAATAAATTAAATGTTTAAAAATGGAATTGCATTTACATTCAAATTACATTATAATTAGAACCTGTATAGCTTTTAACAACTACAGGTAATACATAAACCTTATTAGATGTAGCTAATATTTACTAAATGTGTATCAGCAAGATCAACAATAATGATAATAAAACAACTGGTTTCATTATTAGTATTGTTATTATTATAGAAAGGGGGAGAGAGAGCTCAGATTATAAAAATAAATCAGTCAATGAATATTCCAGATTTTCAGTCGCTTAAGTAAACAGAGCGTTTGGCTAAAGGCTAGGTTTATACAGAGCGGCGGAGATTGATTTACGGCACTGAGCATAGCCTCTTTTATTGGGGACTGTAAATCTGTCAAAAGCGGCAGAACGCGTAGTGCCTTTAAAAAATTATATTTTTTGATAGGGAGACTCGCAGGACAGTCGCTTGTTGAGGTCACTATGTGCATTTTCCATGTGTCAGGTTTTTTTGTTTTGTTTTTGTTTTTTCTGCAACCTGGACAAGACAATTAATTCATTTAGATCAACCCATATAGCGTATTAAATGTAGCGTTATTATTATTATTTTCATTAACAATATTTTATATATAGCCTTTATTTTCACGTGTTATCGGCCAACTTAATTGTTATAACTGTAGGTGGAAGGAATCGCTGCAGCATGTGCGGTAGTGTTAGTTGCACATTGCATGATAAGTCACGTTTTCAGAAGCCAAGAGTAACAAATAAAGCACCTGAATATTCCTCTTTAGTGAGCTAACTCATTACTCTTCGCTATCTCAGGAAATAATGGAATCTGTATCGCAGCAACCATTCAGTTAGTTAAATATTAATATCGAATGAAGAGAAGCCCGGTTGGAGAGATACGGAGAGTTAAAGAAATAAATGCACGCGTAATCTGCATTTTTCAAAACAAGAGATTAAACATATTTGCTGAATAGTTGTAGTAGGCCATGTGTAGATAGAGCTGGGTAATATTACAGTAATATTGATGAAATAGTAGATTAGTAATGCGGTAGAAAAGGGAGGGGTTACGTTTAGCTGGCAGTGTTAACAATGGTGATTTGCCTTACTTAATATGTGTCTCTTTAAAACACACACACACACACACACACACACACACGCGCGCGCGCACACGCACACGCACACACACCGGCTCTCAGCCCAGGCCCACAAAGCTGGCGCGCGCGGGCCATATATCTCTGTGACTATGCGGTGCTGACCTCCGCTCCGCGGCTTTTCACAATAATAATTCAGCAATGCACGAGGGCTATTTGTTTCGCAATTAGCGGCGTGAGCTAAAACAGGCACCACACCATCACATCAGCGTTACAAGGCCAAGTCGCGAGCTTTCCAACAAACCTTGAAGGAGGGAGTGGAGACCAGAACAAGGAGAGCAAGAAGGAGGGGGCTTACATGATACAAAATGCGAGGCGTTGTCGCACAAAATAGCCATCATATTTCTGAGGCGGAAGGCCCTCTTGGCCTCCCTCACAGTGTTGCAGCTACTGAAATACATATAAAGGAAATCGTAAAGTAACCTTGCCGTGTGTATTCTGCAGGTCTTGACACGCATGGTGACTATTCGGGCCTTTCTCAAGCGGTTCGTGAGACGGGAGAGATGTTTAAGGATGGGTCTTTGCAAGGCCACGACTGCTGTTGTTTTAAGGGCCCCCGATAGTTTACTAGACTGTCTGAGGGAAGAGATAGCACGGTGCCCTCGGGTTACAGTGCCCCGGCCGCGCTGTTATGACAAACTCGCCCTAGGGCTTTGTTGACCATGTAACACGTAGCGCTGTCCTGTCCGCGCCGGGTCAAGGGTTTCAGAAGGGTCAGTCTGAGCCTTCGCAACAGACCTAATCGGTCAGAAAAACGTGTCCTCTAGTTGAACCCATTGCTGCCATTCTGACTGCCTGCTGCAAGAATCGATTTTTTTTCTGTCATCCCTCAACTTCCCTCAATATTGGTTACTATATTTTTGTCTTTTTTGCCACGCTTCATGCCACACAGGTCCGCAGAGGGAGGCGAAAGCCGTAAACCAGAACCACTGGCCTTTTCTCCAATGCGCACAATAGATTGATTTGCAGGGGTTAAATGGCGGTGAGCCAGTATCAGAGCACTCATGCTCATCTAAGCACACAACATGCAATTGAAGCAATTTGCTACAAGTCGTTTGTTTTAGGCAAATAGTTGCTCTCGAGACATTCTCTTGTGCTTTTCATTCCTGTCTGACCAACAGAGCATCGAATCGTTTATTTTCGAGACCGGGCACTTTGCACCTGTGGCCACCCAAGCTCTGTGATGAAATAAAAAGTCGTTTTAAGGTGGGGAAACACATACACATACGCACACAAACAATATGATATGCAAAAGAAATAAAGTAGGCTACCATTAACAATAGCCATTGGGGCAACATATCCTATTCGCAGATGGGGGATGTCTTACATATTGCCTATCCAGATATTGCTCACATGTATATATGGCACAATGCAACTCATGCATATTCACAGTGTTGATGAGAGACACATGGCGTTCACGCGCACATGAACGGACAAACAGACGCTGACTTGCACATTCGATTTTTTTCTTTCTTCTCGATATCACTTCAGGACCAACACCCACAAATACACCATCTTACATTTCTACAGATGTGTTGCTCAAAAGCGAAAAGGAAAACATACTACGACTTTAGTTGTGATGGCACACACCTAGAAGTTATCGCAAACACACGACAGCCGGTTCCCAAATGCTACCCTTACTGTCAAAGCAGCCATAAAATCCATCCGTGGCACAACACGACAAATGTGCTTCTGCTACCCAACTGTGAGAAGGCCATAAAGCAATAAAACTCAAATAAAACAAAAGTGCTGTACCTTGAACGCTGCCATCTCTCGTCCTGCGAAGATTCTCACTCGCGCTAACATTTTCAAGAGATTCTTCATGGGACATCCCTCGCCAAAAAAGTTTTCTTGTGGCATGACTTGGTGAATAGAAGATGGTAGAGAAGGGGGGGGGGGGGGGGGGGGGGTGTCTTCAAGTGCCCTTCAAGATTTCACTCCCCTCCTAGCAGAAGGTCCGAGCAGTTGTGCTGCCGAATGACAATAGGAGAGAAGACTTGTTTAAAGAGAAGCGGTGATTAATGATTTTTCTGTATAATTCTCACATTTTTCTTTAGGCTTCTGTCTGCAAATAATAGCGGTGAACTTTTGAGGCCCTCAAAAGAAATCTGTTCACTCCTATTCAAACCACTGTGGTAGAAAGGGTTTTTTTTTCTCTAAGAAAAATAAATAAAATATGTGTGACAACAATAGAATTCCAAGGTCTATACAGATGCCACACGCAAATGCCTCCATTTGAAGAGAGACGCTTTTAAAAATACATCTCACTTTGGAAATAAGATTTGAGTCTAAATCACAAACTGATTGTATGTATAGATGGGCTAGCTAGCTATATCAGGTTTATTTAGCTGTGCTAAATATTTATGCCACTCTATTAGCTCTCAATAAATTGCAGAAAAGTGTGCACATTTAACAATTTTAACTAGAGAGTGGACCTGATATGGTTTTACTGCCTCACATTTTTACTTTTTGAAGTGTTTGATGTTATGTCCAGACAGCATTTCATAAATAAAAGGGAGAAAACAGACAAATGGCTTTAGCAGGCTGTGTGGCGAAAAGGCCTCTCTGATATCAACAAGCAAGTAATAGAAAATCTTCACGGTGCCACGGAATGCTAGCAGACCAATTTAAGGCCATACTTTTGTGTAAAGTTCAACGCCAGCAAACGGAATGTTATTTTCTCCGGCTCTATATTTTCAATACCTGCTCTGAGAAAAGAAAATGAAAATTAATACAAGGGCTGCGCCTTCCAAAAGAAGCCATTTGTCTTCTTGATTATCTATTTGGTTGTCAGGGTTTGAGCTATGGCACCGACCCGCTCCTTTGTAATATAAAAAACACACAGCTTGCGCTGGCAAACAGTCGCGAAACTGTTGTGCAAGAATTACACTCATTAAAGCATTAAAAGCCCACGAGCCGAGAAACTATTTAACTTCTGTTTTTTTTCTAACATGGATCCATATTTTTAGGCGCATTCACGGCGTCGTTGAGCAGAGGGTTTGTGCACCGTTAAATTAAGGAGAGGCGAGACAGAAAGGAAGGGTTTTGTGATTTAGAATAAGATTACAAGGCGTAATGTACCAGGATTACTCGCAATGCAGCGATATAAATCACCAGAGAGATATGCAGAGATCTTCAAGACAAGCGAGCGCTACAAGGCTAACGAAAATGCACAATGGCAAGCCAAATACAATTAAATTGTGTTTTTAGCAAAACACAATGGACGATGGTATACACCTATATAAGAAATATGCATTCAAAATAAGCATAACTGGCTTTCAAATACACAAGAAGACGTGACACATGAAGAAAGATTATACTTTTCCGCCATTTATTAAATTTCTAGAGCTATTTACATGTAACAAAGGTAAACAGTGAAAGGTACAAGCAGAAAGAAGACAAAATACAAACATGTAAGAGGGGAAATGTACAATTCATCAGTGAGAAAACTGATCTTTGGAATGTAAAAAAATATATAATAAAATGTAAAATTATAAGAAAGAAAGAAAGAAAGAAAGAAAGAGAAAGAAAGAAAGAGAAAGAAAGAAAGAAAGAAAGAAAGAAAGAAAGAAAGAAAGAAAGAAAGAAAGAAAGAAAGAAAGAAAGAAAGAAAGAAAGAAAGAAAGAAAAAGTGTGGTATGTGCGCATGTCTACCATAAAACAAAAAGAGGGTGGTATAATGACATAAAAAAGAATAAACGAAAATATAGTGTATTTTCTCATGCAATATACGCACCTTTTATCTATACAACCCTGGTCACACTTAACTTAAATTTCATTTAAACTTACAAACAAATGCTGAGATTAGCTATCGCATATATTTGCCATTAAGTCAAAAGAACTTAATCTGATCACTTCGTAAAACTAGACAAAAAAATACAATTGAGGTAATTTAAATAGTACTTAGCAGTGCTCTCATTAAAATGCTTTGCGTTGTACCGGTTTTGGTTATACATTTCTATCCATCCAGCTTCATTGAACCTTTATATTATATTTAAAACTACTAACAACTAATTAGTAATTTGCTGTTCTTAAACTCAAATGCGCTAAACAGGCGAGTGAAACAAGTCCCTGTATTTGTAATGAGCGACAAATGGACCACACGCACAAAAACCCTCAGTCCCATTGGCATTGCATTCGAAATGCAAATAGCAAATGCAAAATAACCTAATTGCTACAAAATACAAAACTTCATATCAGTTGAAAAACACTCGGCTAGTTATTTTTAAGCCAGGGGAATAAAGGGAGTTAGAAAAGGCTTCTTGACAAAACAGAGCGACTCATTTATTAAGCACAACGCTAGACGTCGAGGTAATGGGCAGGCCTACGGTTCATCCTTTGTACCACAGAGTAAACATGACAAATGGGGCCGAGTTTGGCGTGATTAAAGATGAAACACGGATCCATCTTCACCCAATCTGAAAACTATCTGCCGCCTTCTGTGCTTATGGAAGGGGCGAGTGAGCAGGAAAGGCGTGCGGGATAAAAATGGGAACCAGACTGGGAAGGCAACCCATCTATAGTAGCATTTGAGTTCGAGTCTTCAGTCTCTTCACCCATTTTTAGTGTTTAAAAGATGAACATGTTCTTTGCTCCTTCGCCCCCACATCTTCCTCGTATTTTATCCTTGTAATTAGAGTGCAGGGGAGAGTCAGGAGACACAACGCGGGTAAAATCCACGTTCTACACACCATAAAATTAGATTTTATAATTGTACGTGTTTTGGGCAACAGTGGAGGGCTATAGACTTGACGGAGGTCCACTAGCTCGGTTCTGATTGCTGCCCAATGTCGGGCCGCCGCTTGGATTAGTGTTGGCAGAGTTGCTGCGTATTTTGGTGTTGGGAAGCTTATGGTCCTTCTTCCACTTCATGCGCCGGTTCTGAAACCAAATCTTAATCTGTCGTTCGGATAGGCACAGTGTATGGGCAATCTCCACCCTCCGTCTGCGGGTCAGATAGCGGTTGTAATGGAACTCTTTCTCCAATTCCAGGACTTGCTGCCGCGTGTACGCTGTTCGTGAGCGCTTTGGTTCACCCCCTGAATAGTTCGGGCTCACTGTTGGGATACAGAGATCGACACGTTACAAAAAAAGTATAACACTGTCGCGCACACAGCCCCATACACACTCACATGTACATAGATATGTACACTCCAGAATCACATGCACACACACACACTACAATAATATAGTGTAGTATAATTTTTATAACTTGAAGAAATTCCGCTCGTATTTGCTCGTAAGTGTACTATGTGACTGTTAAAAGATCCTATTGTGCAAAATGGTAAACAAGAGCAAAAAAGTGGTCATTGTATTGTATTCAGAATAAGCAACTGAATAAGGGTCGGGACAGTGACATTAAATTCCAGACTTCATGGCTCAAATTAAGTCAATAAAGCAGCACAAAATACAACAATAGGGATATTGCATTTTTGCATAAGAAATCCTTAAAAGAAATACATATTCAGCAATAACACTACAAGGGAACAGCATAATCTATAGTTGGCTATGGGCGACTAGTGTTAACCCGTGATTTTGCGTTTGCCCCCTTTTCAGCGCGCACCATGGCAGCTCTATGAGTACATGCACTAATTATCGCGTAATAATAGTTCATAAAAGAGTTCGACTGTTTGTATTACCATTAATGTTTTATTATCGTCCTCATAACTATGAATATTTTAGCTCTTATAAGTATTTTTATACTAACAGTTGTGAAGTGGCAGTGTAAAGTACACATTAATCCGTCCAGTCACTTAAAATCAAATTACTAAAACATAAAACTTAACTTATGGATTACATGAGAACTCATAAACCTCTTCTCGGGAAGAAATTAGAACGAGAAAGTTGCATAGACACCGAAAGAGCTTAAAGAAGGAGTGCAATAAAAATTTATGGAGGGTGTAATTATATTGCCCTGCAAACAGACGATCGTAAATCTCGACCAAGGGCAACTTCATAAGGGGAGCAATAGATTTAACGCCGGACATGAGGCTTTCTAAAGTGGCTGAGCTGTCTGCGCACGGAAACGCACTAGTAAGAGAAGTTTAGCTGCACTTACCGATGTTTACGTGGACTTTTTTCATCCAGGGGTATACCACGGGATCTTTCCTTGAGGTGACCGTTGAAATGTTTTGGCTAGTAGGAGTCTGACCGCAGGCAGGCGGAGGGCTTGGAGTTACCGAGTCGCAGCGATGGCTTGGTTCAGGGAGAGGGGTTGAGAGTGCGGTTGTGGGTAGAACGTGACCTCGTGGAGAGATGACCGCGGCAGGCTGCCCCGGACCCTGGCACGATGTGTAGGCTGGGTCGGCGCAGCCCGACCGCTGGTGGTAGATCGGCTCATGCTGGAACGAGGGGTCTTGCCTCTGGGCGCTGTAGTAGTCCGGAGAGTGACTGGGTAGGTAGTCGCTCTGGGAATATTCCTCGCAGGGTGGAAACTTAGGGTCCACATAGTTGGAGTTGATCAAATAGGAACTCATGGCCATTAATTTCTTTGAATTGCACACAAAATATACTAAAATTTATATGTATCCCTTTACTCGTTTTCCTGTTTCGTAGAACCCTCCTACTTTCTGTCAAGTGAACAAAGTTAAGGGTCCATGTGACATCGTCAGCCAATGGCGTGGATCTTCGCGATTCCCGGATAAGGAAATGGGATTAGTCAGTTTGGATCGCGCTCATCAACTCACATATCGGAATAGTCCAAAATTCCATACTTTCTCATACGTTGCCGTGCGCTTGATGAGAAAATGAGTAAATCAAAACAATAACAAGCGAAAGCAGACACAGCGAAAAGGCATGCTGGATTCTAGCAGCCCCACAGAAAGTCACGCCCCCAGTCCCCCTCAGTTCATCTGCACATTGAGAACATGACTACACCTCTATAAAGAACTGTTAAGATTTGGCGCACTGAAATACTGCTAAATTTTGGCTGTTCATGAAACGCGGTACCAGGGGAAAGTAATGCAAGGAAATCGCCTTGGCCAAGGTCTTAAATGCATTCGCTAATAACGGTGAGAGAATGGTCGTGGCGTGAGCAGCGTGTCAGAGATGAATCTGGGCTTGTTTAAGATCGATAGAAAATTCATCAACTAATTCAGGTTACAAAGCCTCCTAAATCACAAAGGAGACCTTCTGCATTTAAACGTAGTCTGCAGTCATTCCACTCCAAACAGCGCGTTTATCCTGTACGCCTAATCTACACACAATGAATAGTAATTTATGTGCTCGATTCACTATTAACACCAGCAGCAAATATGTCTCGTTGTTTACTGATAGTGATGTTAAAACAGGGCACTCAGATGGTTATAAATCAGTGCAAATCTCTACATATTTTTTTTTTTGTTTTTTTGCTCTTTTCGATTTCTTTAAAAGTCCCACTAAATATGTGACATCATAAACGCCCTTCAAATCTACACCACAATTAACAGAAAAATATAGTGGCTAAGAAAAAAAAACTTTCGTTCCTGCTATAATATTTCCAGTACCAAACAGTCGTAATATTAATAACAATGATAAAACAAAAGTTAAAAATGTCATCTTCTTTGCCCGTTGAAGTTGAATGTAGCCTATACATCAACTACATACTCCCCTAGATACGAATTTGTGACTGTGCGTCTGTTTACACAAATCCGGATCTACAGGGTATATATAGATGACAGGTATCTTCTTGACACGTATTGAGAGAGCCTGCTCACCTTGACAGCGCCTTCCCACCTTGACAGCGCCTTCCCAGTGTCAAGTTGTTGCACCTGGAACAGTCTGCCTCCAAGGATATCAGCAATCTGTCTCGCCACTTAATGGATCGGTGCTTCTTTTGTAAACTTTGCTAATGGTTTGTGGTAAACACTGGAGTTTTTTATTAGCCTACATTTCTCCCCTAGATAGCAGCTAAACACTCAGCTTAAGAGAGTAACATTGACTTTTTCCACCATCTGTGGCCCAGAAACAACATTTCCTACCGTCGAACTCGTAGTCTTTGTCTCTTCGATATATATTGAACAATCGAAGCGCACAACTTTTTCGTCTAATGTGTACATTTTCAGTCAAAAACGTTTAAAAATCTGAAAGAAAAATTAAATTAAATGAATGTTACAAATTAATTAAACGTAATAAAACGGCTGGGACAAATGCAACAATATAATATCTATGCACGACAGTCTTGAATTAAAAAAAAAAGGTCATTAGAGTCAATGCGCGTACAGGCCTTTCTGGTAAATGCGACCACGACAGATCTCAATAAAGGTCAAAGAAAGCTGGACCAGCCACTGGAATAAAACATGTGGGTTTTATGGCAGGTCAGCTCTGTTTGCTACCGGCAAACACCAGTCAAACGGCGAATAAATAGAGAGGTGAGAGGGTATAAAACAATAAAATATGCACAGGACAATACCAATAGTTCTTTAACCCCCTGACACCAAACATTGTATGACTCCTTAAACAAGCGTTTCTCTCCCCAAACACTCGGCCCATCATTTCATGAAAAAACGCTCTGAAATAAAGAACTTCTAATTCATTCTATTGAGTTTCCTTTTGTTTTGGGGATGCACCGATAATTTCAGGATGTTTTTTTTAGCTGTGCAGAAAAGGTAAGATTTCCTTATTTAACTCTACCATTAGAACGGAGGATAGTGTGAAAGTGAAAAAAAACGAAAACAGTTTAAAATGTAAATATTATATTTGTAATTTAAACAAAATATCGACATTAGCTTATTTATTTATTTATTAGAGCAGCGAGCAGTAGGCTATGTCACGTCAATTAAACATTTCGTTTGCCACATTTCATAGCTTAGCGAAAAGAAAAATCTACTTGAGTAAACAGCGAAAAAGTATTATTGTGGCCGACGAAATTGTCATTGCTTCACATGCCAAAATATATCAAATTAACTACAACCGAAACACAATTCATCGTAATGATTTTCGTAAATACCGGCGAGAGCTGAAACAAAAGGCTATACCAAAATATTAATTTAAATACATATTCAACATTTTATTTGTCCTTTTAGTTTTTTTAATGATAGCTACAATTATAATTCAGCAAATGTCTATATTTATACGAAATCTTAATCTACAAATCTTAAATCTGGAGGGTGCATGGTTTTGAGTCTTTGTTCTGCTGCGGTTTAAGTGACAAAGGCAAAAACATAGTATTAAATGATTATTAACTTGATTCCAGATATGCACGAAATGAATGTTTCAAGAATTGTATCAAAATAACATCGAATAGTATCGAAATATTCTAGAATGAAGGAAAATCATTTTTCATTCACTGAGCAGTTATAGAATGTGCATAAAAACTTGCATCATATCAAATAAATCTGTAGCACCCCTAGCGTTTGGCAGTCAAAGCTCTGGCAATTTTTCAAATGGGCCTCTGCCATTTTCAGTTCTTTTTTCAACTTGCCCGACTCTTTTCTTCTCTCTCAGTTCATTTTGATTGCTGCTTGGTATTAATCGTGCCGAACTTCTTGCACTGAAGCACATTAGCATCCATGTCCAGTAGAAACTATGAAAATAATTTAACGCTTAAATGACTCAGCTTTTATTTCGCATGTAAACTATACACCTTATTTCACATTTTAGCGATGAAAATCTATTGTAACAGCAAAGGAGAAAGTTCAGCCTTGGTGTCCACTCTAACCCTTTCACCCCCTGAAGTCCCCGACCTCGCCTTCACCCCCGTGAGCCATCTCCTTCTAAAAGCCATAGGGACCTCGAGCCATCTGCCTCATTATGGGGTTAATGTGTACACCGACAGGCATTCAAAGCCGCGGCTCAGAGACTATAGCCAAGGTAAATATTCACCATATAAAACCCACACGCTCAACAGTGCAACTCCGTGGGGCTCGAATTCAAAGTCATAACTCCGTTATGATAGGAGGGGGGACCCGTACTCTCGCCACAGTGTGCGCGAGCACGTGGTCCGCGTCCGCCCAAGCAAACACCTGCAGAAGAGAGCACGGCGATATGCAAATGAAGCGCCTTTTTCTTTACTTACTTTTTTTACTCTGAGCGTCGCACCTCGCATTTGTGTAGTCTCTCGCCCGTATCTCCTCTCCTTTGCGGTACGCGCTCTTTGCAGGGGATTGTCGCCGCTCCAAACCCTTTCTTTCCGTTTCAACCGTTCCTATGCGAGTCCCTCCGTCTAAACCCCCCCTCACTCCTTTCTCCAAAGCCACAGGTTTAGCCCGTGACCTCGCCGTGATACCTTTGTGTGCTCAACTCCCTCTCATTTCCGTGGGTCCCCTCGAGCTCATCTTTAACATCACGCGACGATAACAGACAGGCAGAAATTAGAACATCCAAGAAAATCCTCAACCGACTCAAGAGCTCAGAAAAGCAAAAATAAGAAAAAAACACCAAGCCACCAATTTCGACAACAGGAGTCATCGTGCCGTAATATTTTCCGTTTTGAGGCTTTATCTTGCTGGCAACAAGAAGGGGCTTTCCCCACACAACGCAGCCATCTCTGTCCTAAAACAACTAAAAATAAAATGCACGTTAGCCTCAAGCCGCTGTGAGCTCTACAATACCATTGGGCGATATAAGGCATTTTGTTGTGGACTCTCAAGTTTTCATATTAATCTCGCACTTTGGCAGTCTTTGTTAAACAGCGAGGCGTGTCACGAGTCCCAGTACATTTTAATATTTGTTAGACGCGCTGACCTCCGGTTCACCCCTTCTCTGGGTCTCTCCCACTCTAAAGTTCTATAGTAATGCATGCATAGTGTGTTCGCTCATTTTGAATTGTGCCCAGGTCATTACTTTGAAGAAAAATGGCTCGAGAAAGGGGGGTCATTCAAAAAGGCTTTATAACCCACAAATCAGTTCAACCATAGAGCGATTCTTTATTTTCCTAGTTGTATTCACAACACTAAAAGAGATGTTCAACGTGAATCTAAAAGACCAAACTATACAACGAATTTACAATTTACAAAATATTAAAAGTTCGTTAAGGTTTTTTTTTTCTTATTTTTTTTTTTTTTAAACAATTTGTGTGTGTTTGGGTAGCCCAATCTATTCGAAGGGTAACGACAAATACCATCCTGACAAAAACACACGATCCACATTTTTACAAATAAATTCTATAATTTTAATTATATAGCCTAAAATGATTTTATTTAAGATATTAAAATGTCTATATATAATATAAGCTATACAATTATATATACAAATAATAATAATATAGCCTATAATTATATATAATAATAATATTGACAAGCAAAATAAAAATGTTAACAGTTGATAACATTTATTTTTTGCGAACTGCAGATGGAAAAAAAAAACTATCCAAAGATAGAATATATTCTTTCTAGAAACGCCACGTGAACACAAAATATAATGCAGGGTACAACACTGCCCAGCAACGGCACATGTTAGGATGGAATGGAAATTAATTCGGTGAACTCCATCTGAACTCCAAATGGGACGAGTTTTCTAATATAATTATTCACCACTTACGTACGTTGTTTCTCAGAATATCAAGCCGTTCAGCATCACATCATCCTGACTCACCACCATTAGTCTTAATGTGCGTGCCAATAAATTAATATTCATGACCAAATTATCAGTTCCCCAGTTTCTCACTTAACATAGCTACTCAAAACACGACTTTAAAATCAATATTTTATTTATCACATAAAAATGAAGACCAAACTAGATCTAATCCCAATATCTAAATAAATATTTAATGTTTTAAATAGTTGTATTGCTATTGTTATCGTGAATATTATTTATTTCGTTAATGTTTTAGGCCTATATATATTCTTCGTGATGATTGTTTGGATATGACATGATGACACTAAATCTGAGTTCCCTAAGAAAGGGAAATGTGCTTCTTAATCACATTTCCTTAGTTTATTCGAGTTGTGTATAGCTATAGGAACAGCAACGTGTCTACATTTTAAACATGTAAACAAAATACCGCAGGTGGTCTTCCGATTCGAACGCAATTAATGTGATCAACAAATTAAAATGTGAAATACAATAGGTCATATAAAAATAATGAGAATTGCGTCGCTCAACTAACTTATTTCTTTCACAATAATTGTAAGAAAATATTTTATTTGCGTATCGTTTAACACGCATCCAGCGCACTCAAAATCCCAGGCTCAAGCAGTAAGCTAGTTTAAAAAAATTGTTTTAAATGATAGATATAAATATATAGGCTATGTATTATTCCGCTGTAATTACATGAAGATGATTATGAAGTAGATGCTAGTAAGCAAGCTTTATTTGTAGTTAGACAAAAAAAATAGGTTTACACAGTCCACATAAAGCTCTGAACTTATTGAGAAATTATAAAGTAGCTACAAAATAACAAAATTAAATAATGTTTTTTTTTGTTTTTTTGCAGGAAACAAACTGAAAAAAATAACAGCAACACTTTTTTAACTGGTAACTGAGTGATTGAATTGATTGTCATTTTACAATTTTTTCAGGAGCCACGTTTCTAAAGTTCACAAAGAAATCAAAGGCTTGGTTAAAGGCCTATTTGCCTTTGACTTGCCTTACTTGTCTATAAATAACTAAGCCGCCTCGTCACAAAATCCATGGAACGCAATAAATGCAATAAAATGCATCACTGAATGAGATAAATTATGAAAAGATTCGCAACATCAGGCCTTTTCGTTGATGCCCTAAACCTCAAGATTCGATTGTCTTTTTTTCTCCCCAACACACACCCTTTCGCGGGAACGTGCTTTGTTGCAAAGTCGCTCTCCTCAGTTCTGCTCTTTCTATCATTTTTCTAATCTTTTCAAAAGAGACAGTCTGAAACCCCAAACTCCCCCTCTTTCTCCTTCTCCCACTTTGCCATTGACATCCAGCGATTGGTCAAGCGCAGCGAGTCGACAGCCAACGACCGAGTCACGCACTACGTAAACTTTTGACCCCTGAACTTTTTGACCCCACCAAATCACGCGCCATTTCTAACGAGACTACGTTCACCTTCACTCGCTCTTCTGGATTAAACGTAGAGAGAGAGAAGGGAGAACGAGCCTCTCTTGTGGCTATAGCCGTAGCTTAATGCTACAACAGCATTGAACAAGGCTGGCTTACAATGTAAGCTTCTACAGGCAAAATGCTGAATCCGAAATGCACTAGAAATTGGCACTGTTCCGATCAGGAAACAAATCAACGAAACGTTGTCGGTGGAATTTACGATAGTATTCTATGATCATTTAAATTGCGTATTACGAGACGTTTCCAAATCCTTTAGTTGTTGGAACAGGGCGACAAGCAGACACCAGCATCCTCAACCATCGTGATCTTGGTCTGAAGCGGGCTCTGCTGGCGACAAAGGAGAGCTACATCTGAGAAAAATCCAACTCAAGCATAACGTCAGGAGGAGAAAATATATGCAGCCTATTTGTATTGATAAAAAAACAACTGTTTAGAGAATAACTCACAAATAAGACACGTAAATATACATTCGCTATATAATTTGAATAAAATAAATAATAATATAAAATAAACAATTTGACTTAATTTGCCATAAATGTTGCCTTACATTGTATTTTTTAGTAATTATTAAATTTTAAATCCAAATTCTTTTTCTACGATTTGATGTTTATATTAAGATTAATGTAGGCTATTATTGATTAACACGTATGGGCTATATTAAACAAGAAAGGCTATTTATAAATGTGTTATTCGTTATGTAATTTTGTTTAATTTATAATGTGAGTTACGGATGAGTTATGTATATGTAAACGTGAACGTTCATGTCCGCACATTTGAACAAAAAAAGATTTATTTTTAGTCTTACTCTAAGTCTAATAATTGTTTACGTAGCCTAAATTAACACTAATAGGCCTATTTATATTTATATTAACACTTTATATAGCCTACTATATTATTAAACATTCAAAAAAATCAGCAGAATTTGTAGCTATTATTTAATCAGGGTTTTTCTATTATCTAATTCAGGCCATTTTTAATACGTCTTAAACCGGGTCATATAATCAAGCCGTGGTTTAGTGGTTAGCCCAGATGTGGCGTGCGGGCGACGCGAGTTCAAATCCTGCTTGTATCATCTGGCAGTCCTGTTCACCCTTGTTCTTCCTGTTCTCATATCAAAGTGCCAAAGAGCCCAATAACACATGCAGAAAACACCACACTTTAAATGTTTGTTTGTCTGTTGTTTAAATGTTTTATTTGTTGTCTTGGCTTCCTCGTCAGATATTGAATACAGATGTTAAAATACAATTGCATAAAACTTGCTCAATCAAGAACCTCTTTTTTAGGACAAGCATCGCATAATTTCGCTTTATGCTCTCGTTGTATTGTTTCGCGCTTGCGCCCTCGCAGCAGTGCCCGTCTGCTGACCCCTGGATGATCCCGTCCCTATGCATTATGGATGAGAAATGCTCGCGGATTGCCCCTATCAATATGCAAAACGCATTAGTCTTAAAATTGCTATTTAAATGTTCGAAATTGCTGCGTCTACATGGTAGAGGGCTTATAGAAATCATAGAAATTGATTTTTAGTACTAAATGCTCAATGGACATAAATGCTGGAAACTTCAAAGTGAAATTCCCTGCTAAATAAGTTCTCTGAGCCTCGTTGCATCAATAAAAATATTGTAATTCCAAATAGTCGTATATGTCTTTGGGCTAACATTTAAAACCACATTTATAGACTCTTGTCTTTGATCCCCTGAGTTTGTGTCAAAACGTATCACACACACCCTGCAAATATTTCTCTGACGCACAAACACACCTAGAATTAACGCCCAGTCGCCTTAGTGACTCACAGCACATATAAACACTCAAGAAATATTTCTATTCCTCTTTTTGTATTTTCTTATTTGCATTGTATGCTATAAGACTGAACTTTATTATTATGGTTGACCTCAATTGTGGTTGTATAGACGCTTGTCTTTGTAAGTGACTTTAGAGGAATGCGCGCATTTTTGCTTACAGGCCGGAGCCCTCCCCACTCATATCATTAAAAAGGAAGCTGATGAAAAATTAAACGGTAGCCCTCGACTCATGCTCACGACCACAATTTCGCCTTCCTGTTTACGGCCTGAAACTTCCTTACTCCGTTGCTCGGACACACACACACACACACACACACACACACACACACACACACACACACACACACACACACACACACACACACACACACACACACACTCCTTTACTCTCTCTTGTGTGAGCGGTCTCTCTCTCTCTCTCTCTCTCTCTCTCTCTCTCTCTCTCTCTCTCTCTCTCTCTCTCTCTCTCTCTCTCTCTCTCTCTCTCTCTCTCTCTCTCTCTCCTTCTCTCTCTCTCCCTCCTTCTCTCTCTTTCTCACACACAGAAATGCCAAATGGAGGGCTATAAAATCTGTAACACTCATTGAAAGTAGGCTGTAAAACACCCTGAAAGCTTAACATTTATTATTTTGGAGGTAATGTTGATGTTTAATGCAGAGGAGCCGGAAAGAAGCAAACACGTATTTGATAAGCAAAATAAACAAAAGTTTTTGCTTTTTGTATAATTTACAATGTGTTTTATAGTAAAGGTTAAGATCTGCCAAATCGTAAAAAGCCAGTAGGCCTATGTCCAACATACGTTGCCATTTACATATAGGCTACATATTTTTTCAGTGCCGTTTGTAATGAAAGTATATACATTTTAAATGTTTATGACTATTTTTAGTAGGCTAGTTTTAAAAAATGCTAGAGTTATTATCCATTGAATAATTTAGATGATTACATTTTTTTAGGTAGGCTAACTGTTGTCGGAGAATATGTGGAGCTCGTTTTAATCATATAGTGTTAACTACTGAGGTTTTCGTTATCTTTATAATTCCATAAAGGTTACACGCTCTGTAGTCACGGCA